TGTCTATGTTATATTCAGAAATATTTATCATAAAATTTACAAACAAAAGTCCTAATGACACTCCAAATGGCAAATGTATCTCTCCAATGTGGCAGTACTAACTTTATTAAAAATAGAATTTTAGCCGGCGCCGCGGCTCACTAGGCTAATCCTCTGCCTAGCGGCGCCGGCACACCGGGTTCTAGTCCCGGTCGGGGCACCGGATTCTGTCCCGGTTGCCCCTCTTCCAGGCCAGCCCTCTGCTATGGCCCGGGAGTGCAGTGGAGGATGGCCCAGGTGCTTGGGCCCTGCACCCCATGGGAGACCAGGAAAAGCACCTGGCTCCTGGCTCCTGCCATCGGATCAGCGCAGTGCGCTGGCCGCAGCGCACCAGCCGCGGCGGCCATTGGAGGGTGAACCAACGGCAAAGGAAGACCTTTCTCTCTGTCTCTCTCTCTCACTGTCCACTCTGCCTGTCAAAAAAAAAAAAATAGAATTTTTAAAATGAAAATCTGAACATCTACAAATGAAAATGTGAGACATGGCAATTAAAGATATGGTAGGAAATTTCATGTTTCTAGAAATTCACCCTTTTCATCTAGATTTTTAAATGTATACGCATGATATAAATTACTTTTCTAAATTATCTTTAGACTGTAAGTTTCTAGCATTTCTTACAAAGGCATTTAAATCTGTATTAACCCTCCCCCACCTGGCTTAGCTTTACCTTACAAACTTTAAGATGTAGCAAGTTATTTATTGAAATATTGATTTTTTTAAATTGTGACAAAGTGTACTTAACCAAATTCATCATTATAATCTTAAGTATGCAGTTCAGTAGTATTAACTACATTCACAATGTTGTACCAAAGCCTTTTATTTTTTGTTTCTAAATTAATGTTTTTGCTTAGAGAAGAAAAAAAAGATTTACAGGTTTTTTTTTCTTCTTTAATCACTAAGCTTTTAAGGGTAGTGTGAATGGTATATTTAAATTTTTGGGGGCCGGCGCTGTGGTGTAGTAGTTAAGCAGCCACCTACGGTGCTGGCATCCCATATGGGTGCTGGTTTAAGTCCCAGCTGCTCCACTTCCTCTCCAGCTCCCTACTGATGGCCTCCCTCTGTTGATGGCCTGGGAAAGCAGAAGATGACCCCAGTGCTTAGGCCCCTGCACCCGCATGGGAGACCCAGAGAAGCTCCTGACTTCTGGCTTCAGATTGGCCCATTGGCCATTTGGGGAGTGAAGCAGCAGACTGAAGACCTCTCTCTGTCTCCTCCATCTCTCAGTAACTCTGCTTCTCAAGCAAATAAATGAATCTTCTAAAAAATATTCTGTTCATGTTTACCTAATAGAGTTAAAAGAAACATTATCAGTTAAATAAATGTTGATAATTTTATAACTCTTTGTAAACTGTTCCTTTTATAAGCATGAACCATCCTTCTTCATCCCTTTAGGTGTTTTTCAAATTAAATTCCTTTTGATGTGTTAGAAAAATTTTAGCCCTAGCTTGCTTGCTTGTATTTTTTAAAAAGATTTATTTTATTTTATTTTTATTTGACAGGTAGAGTTACAGACAGTGAGAGAGAGAGAGACAGAGAGAAAGGTCTTCCTTCCATTGGTTCATTCCCCAAATGGCCACAATGGCCGAAGCTGCGCCGATCCGAAGCCAGGAGCCAGGTGCTTCCTCCTGGTCTCTGATGCGGGTGCAGGCGCCCAAACACTTGGGCCATCTTCCTCTGCCCTCCTGGGCCACAGCAGAGAGCTGGACTAGAAGAGAAGCAACCAGTACTAGAACCAGGCACCCATATGGGATGCCAGCGCCACAGGAGGAGGATTAACCTAGTACGCCATGGCACCGGCCCGCTTGCTTGCTTTTTAAAGATTTATTTATCTGAAAGTGAAAGTTACAGGGAGGGAGAGACAGAGATCTTCCATTAGCTGATTCACTCCCTGGATGGCTGCCACTGGGCTAGGTCAAGCCAAAGCAAGGAACCAGGAGGTACTTCCAGGTCTCCCACATGGGTGGCAGGGGCCCAAGCACTTGGGCCATCTTCTGCTGCTTTTCCCGGGCCATTGGCAGGGAGCTGGATCAGAAGTGGAACAGCTGGGACACGAACCAGCGCCCATATGGATGCTGGTGTTGGAGGTGAGGGTTTTACCTGCTATACCACAATGCCGGCCCATCCTAGATTTCTTTTGGTTCTTTTTTCTGAATCAATCTTTTTTTTTTTTTTGACAGGCAGAGTTAGACAGTGAGAGAGAGAGAGAGAGAGAGAGAGAGAGAAAGGTCTTCCTTCCATTAGTTCACCCCCCAAATGGCCGCTATGGCTGGTGCACTGCAGCCGGCGCAATGCGCCGATTTGAAGCCAGAAGCCGGGTGCTTCCTCCTGGTCTCCCATGCGGGTGCAGGGCCCAAGTACCTGGGCCATCCTCCACTGCACTCCCGGGCCACAGCAGAGAGCTGGCCTGGAAGAGGGGCAACTGGGACAGAACCGGCACCCCACCCGGGACTAGAACCTGGAGTACCAGTGCCACAGGCGGAGGATTAGCCTAGTGAGCCGCGGCGCCAGCCCTGAATCAATCTTTTTCTGCTCCTTTATTTTTAAATGAGGAATTAGCCAACTAATGGTATTATCCATGGTGTTATACAAAAATCAATCTCACAAAACAATCAAGATCACTATTCTGACCATCATGACACAAGGCAAAACAAAGATCACTTTGCAATCATGTCTGAGCACAAAGATCAGAACACTATTCAAACCACAAAAGTGAACATTCCCTGTTCTAATATAAGTGATTGCTGCTTCTTTACCATAAGTTTAGTCTTACTCCATTACGCTTATCTTCCAAATAAAAAGAATTAAGATATGCAATCATAAAAACGTCCAACACCAACAGCAGTGGAGGTTCATGGAGATTTGGCTAAAATCTCACTACACTTGACTGACTCCCTGAAATGAACTTCTACTACTTCCTATATATTCAATAGAAAAGTGAGTGATAACAACAATGTCCACTGCAACACTGTTCATAACGTGATCTGTATTTTACCAAACATTAAAAAAGCAGTAAGCAGGGCCAGGGCTGTGGCATAGTGGGTAAAGCCACTGCCTGCAGTGCCAGTATCCCACATGGGTGAGGGCTCGAGTCCAAGTCCTGGCTGCTATACTTCCAATCCAACCCTCTCCTGGGTCTTGGTTTGTTTGTTTGTTTGTTTTTTTAATTTTTTATTTTTCTTATTCCAAGGGCCGGCACTGTGGCATAGGAGATCCAGAAGAAGCTCCAGGCTCCTGGATTTGGATCAACCCAGCTCTGGCCATTGCAGACATTTGAAGAGTGAACCAGCAGAGGGAAGACTTCACCCCCCGCCCCGCCTGTGTCTCTCTGTAACTCTGCCTTTCAAATAAATAAATAAATAAATCTTTTAAAAAAGCAATAATAAAAAGTGTTTCTAAAACACAATTTCTGTGAAATCAAAGGAAAAACAATTTGTGGTTGTTTTTTTTTATATACAGAATGAAGAAATCAAAGAAAAACTAAAAAATGAAACTGGTCATCTATATTAGGAGATGTGGGCAGTAGGGGACATAGGTAGGGTACAGTAGTCCCACTTTCTTCCTGAACTTCTATCACCATAATCCTTTTCATGTGTTGCTTTCTAGACTTTTCTAATTTTTAAACTAAGTGAATACATTTCCGATTCTACCATTCCTAGTAAACTATCATCTTATCTTCAAATGAATAGGAATTACATAAAAGTCATAAATAAGAACAGAACGCTTATAAAAAAGAGTATTTAGAAAACAAACTAGAATTTATGAAAATTAAAACAGTGAATTGAAAATGCTGATAGCAGTGCTAAGCAGCTCAACAGAATAACTGGAAGACAGGCTTCAAAGTTCCCCAGAAAGGCGAATAGTAAATAGAAGACAGTGGAGGAAAAAAATGGAGAAAACTGAAAAAGAAATTTCAAAGAGAGAATAAAGAACATACTTGTATTTAGGGAGAAAGTTTAGAAAAAAATGGAGAAATACCTTCAAACTCTTAAACAGAAGTGAATTCTAACCACGAATCTTACCTGCAGCCAAAGATCAATACAGTGTGAAGAAAAACAAGTTTTCTTTCACAGTCACCTTTCCACTGTCATACAACCCACCTCTAGAGATGGAGATATTACCCATGTATTGTTCATTCTTGACAGAAAGATCAAATTGTGGGGTTGGCACTGTGGTGCCATGGGTTAAGGCACCACCTACAATGCTGGCATCCTATTTGGTCACCAGTTCAAGAGCCAGCTGCTCCACTTCCGATCCAACTCTCTGCTATGGCCTGGGAAAGCTGCGGAAGATGGCCTAAGTGCTTGGGCCCCTGCACCCACATGGGAGACCCGGAAGAAGTCTGGGCTTCTGGATTTGGCCTGACACAGCTCCAGCAGTTGGGCCATTTGGGGAGTGAACCAATGGATGAAAAATCTCTCCTCTCTAACTCTGCCTTTCAAATAAATATAAAAAATTTTTTTTTTCTTTTAGAAACAGTAGGTCGGCCGGCGCCGCGGCTCACTAGGCTAATCCTCCGCCTAGCGGCGCCGGCACACCGGGTTCTAGTCCCGGTCGGGGCGCCGGATTCTGTCCCGGTTGCCCCTCTTCCAGGCCAGCCCTCTGCTGTGGCCAGGGAGTGCAGTGGAGGATGGCCCAGGTGCTTGGGCCCTGCACCCCATGGGAGACCAGGAAAAGCACCTGGCTCCTGGCTCCTGCCATCGGATCAGCGCGCTGCACCGGCCGCAGCGCGCCGGCCGCGGCGGCCATTGGAGGGTGAACCAACGGCAAAGGAAGACCTTTCTCTCTGTCTCTCTCTCTCACTGTCCACTCTGCCTGTCAAAAAAAAAAAAAAAAAAAAGAAACAGTAGGTCTACAGTCTGGCTGCTTCCTATGGCCCATGTATCTCTGCCCTGAGGTTCTGGTGATAGATCAGAGATATATATTATGGGATAAACTGCCAGCCCCTGGGACCACCTCCTCACCTCACATGAGCTGCCATGATCTTCTGGAGCTAGGACTGAGGACTGCTGGGTAGAGGTCCAGTTAGCTGGCATGGCCACACTGGGTCTCAATCCTTGTTCTCAGGAGCTTAAAGCTTAGGGCTCATCTATAAACTCAAGCAAAACTGTTGGGAAGAGATCGCCTGGAGTTGGAGAAGACCTGACCTGGGGCTTCCTAGAGACACCAAGAAACCTGAAAGGACAACAGTCATAGTCAGTCATTCAACATTCATTACAAAAACATTACCAAGTATACCGAAGTACAGGTCCCCGAGCTAGAAACCCAGAGCAGTGGCTCCCAAATCTGACTATACACTGAATCACCTCGAGGGCTTATTACAACACAGTTAAAAATTCTCAGCCTCACCCTTGAATTTCTGATTCACTGGGTCTATGACAGGGCCTAAGAATTTGCCTTTCTATGTATGGCCCAGGTGATGCTGATATTGTTGGCCCAGGGATAACACTTTGAGAAAGTGTACTGGGAGAATAGAGTATAAGAAATCTGTCGGGGCTGGCACTGTGGCACAGTGGGCTAACGCCCTGGCCTGAAGTGCCAGCATCCCATATGGGCGCCCGTTTGAGACCCGGCTGCTCCACTTCCAATCCAGCTCTCTGCTATGGCCTGGGAAAGCAGTAGAAGATGGCCCAAGTCCTTGGGCCCCTGCACACACACAATAGACCTGGAGGAAGCTGCTGGCTCCTGGTTACGGATCGGCACAGCTCCAGCCATTGCAGCCATCTGGGGAGTGAACCAGCGGATGGAGGACCTCTCTCTATGTCTCTACCTCTCCCTGTGTAACTCTGACTTTCAAATAAAAAAAAAACTTAAAAAAAAATTCTAGCAGGACTGATCATTTAAATATATGTACTTTTTAAATTCCTATACAATATTAGAATAAATTTTACAAGTATACATTTCTATAACATTATGGTAGGTTGAGAGGGATATTATTACACACAAGACACTCAGAAGCTATAAAGGAAAACACAGATATTTCTGAATTAAATACTTCCTAATTATGTTAAAATATACTGTCAAAATAAAAATGGAATATATAAATTTTTTTCATGATATTGTAATAGGTTATTTCTAGTGTTATATCTAATATAGTCACTAAGGTGAAAAAAAGGCCAGGGGAAAAAACTAGACAAAATATATGAATATTCAAAGAAAAGGAAACTTAAATGACAATTAAATAAAAAGATGTCAACTTTAGCAACAGGAAAATACATTAGAATAATTAAGTATAATTTTTCCTCTGAATGATAAAGCTTTTAAAAAAGGCAACAATTGGGGCCAGTGCTGTGGCACAGCGGGTTAAAGCCCCAGCCTGCAGTGCTGGCATCCCATATGGACACCGGTTCGAGTCCCGGCTGCTCCACTTCTGATCCAGCTCTCTGCTGTGGCCTGGGAAATCAGTGGAAGATGGTCCAAGACCTTGGGCCCTTGCACCTACATGGGAGACCGAGAGGAAGCTCCTGGCTTCAGATTGGTGCAGCGAATGGAAGACCTCTCTCACTCTCTCTGGCTCTACCTCTCTCTGTAACTGTCTCAAATAAGTAAATCTTAAAAAAAAAAAAAAGGAAAGAAAAACTGCTGGAGACAGTAATTTCCTAAAAAATAAATAAATAAATAAAATTAAAAAGCAGCAATATCCGCTGCTAGAAAGCATTTAGGGAAATGTTTTACAAATTTGTTGCTGAAAGCTTGAAACGCTGTATCTTTTGACCTATTCACTGATGACTATTATTTTAAAATACACATAATTGTTTATAATAATATGGTTCGAACGTACAAAGAGGAAACAAGAAAAGGACACACAGGTAGACACGCTTCCTCTCCACTGTGAGTTTACCTTCTTAGACAAAATAATTTGTAAGGAGATGCAAGTAGATATGTATGAAATATATGCTCAACACGTATTAAAATACAGTCAGCGAATGCACAGTTTCTACGTAGTAGAGGTGACATTTATGAAAACTAACCAAGACCTAGGCCATAAGGCAATTTTTCAACTCCAGCACTACTCAGACATTATTTCAAATAGAAAACGCGCTTTTAGGCAAATCATGAGTCAACTAAAAAAGTGACAAAAATTCTTTTAAAAATCACTTACACTTGAGCCATAAAGAAAACTGGTGAATCATTATATTAAAGAATGTTGAAAATTAATGAGCTACTGTTCCACCTCAGGTTAGAAAGAAAGCGGTCCCTGGATTCGAGAGACTCCTAAAGCTGACCCCACAGGTTCTCAGCTCCCGAATCCCAGTAACTCAGCTCCAAAACTCCACCACTGCCCAAGGACTCCGGTCACTGACAACCAGCAACCGACGCCACACACCTTCCCCCACTCCCCATACCTGAACTCGGAAACCACCACTATCAACTCCACGGACCACTCCTCACTCCCCCCCACCCCGCCCTCCATTACTAATTCTACGCAATCCTTAATCGCAACTAACCCAAATCATCTCAGCGACCTCTTCGCATTAAAATAGGGAAATACGTACTCCTGTCAGCAGCGGCAAAAAGCCCCCGAGGGCCACTTCCGCTTACGCTCCCATTTCTACGACCGCCCCTTCGTGCTATTGGTGCTGCGCATGCTCCGTATTTACTTGGAAGCCGCAATTCGCCCACAGTCAACAGGGCGCTGAGGCGTCGTTAGAGACGGTGACCAGTACCGTAAGAGAGGCTGCGGGCGGAAAACATGGCCGCGCCCACTGGAGTTTCTTCGTGTGGGCCGCCATCCAGGAAGCGGCTCCATTCCGTACGGCGGAGCCATGGGACTCCCGCCCAGAAACTGCCTATGGAAGTGGGGTAGGCGTCTGGGTGGTGGGGACTCTACAGTTCTGTTCTGAGAAATAAATCGGAGCGAGCAGGGGGAAAAGTCAGGGCGTCCTTTTCTGACAGACTGGTGGAGGGAATGGATGCTTGAACTCCCAAGTTTTGCTATCATCCTCTTCTCTAAGTAAAACTATAGCAGGCAGCAATAATTTTAAAATGACAATGGTGTTTAATATGGTCAGTGTGTGAGTAAAACCACCCACGGAAAACTTTGCTGTTTTTTTTACTTGTACATTAAAACAAATCATGAATAACGTTCTTACTATGTAAATGAAGGCTTCAGTCCACTCTTTCACTGTCCCCTTTGCTTTTCCTAGATGGAAATTCTGAAGCAACTAGTAATCCCATCATCCCCTCACCCCTCTATGAAGATGCGCACGTCAGTTGTAAAGAGGCAATTCCTTTCACGTTGTGAAGACCTAAATATGCTTCAAACCCCATCATAAATACTACTTCTAACAGCAAGTCCTGCATGGCAGTGCTGGGAGGTTCTATGCTCTCCTCAAAATGTTCAGTCCCTGCAGGTGCGGAAAAATTTTTTTAAAGATTTATTTTATTATTTGAAAGACTTACTTGCAGAGATGTAGAGAGAGAGAGGTCTTCCTTCTGCTGGTTCACTCCCCAAATGACCACAACGGCCAGAGCTGAGCTGATCCGAAGCCAGGAGCCAGGAGCTTCTTCCTGGTCTCCCTCACAGGTGCAGGGGCCCAAGGAATTGAGCCATCTTCTACTGCTTTCCCAGGCCATAGCAGAGAGCTGGATTGGAAGTGGAGCAGCCAGGACTCGAACTGACACCCATATGGGCTGCTGGCACGGCAGGCCAGGGCTTTAACCTGATGCTCCACAGCGCAGGCCCCAGGAAAACTTTTAAGAGGATTGGATCTATGCTGTAATGTAAACGTCCTAAGTACTTTCAGGCCAGTTATGTCCCTCTCTGGAACTCAGCTTAAAAATAGGTTCAGGGTGTTGGCACCATGGGGCAGCAGGTTAAGCCTTGGCTTGGGACACCCACATCCCAAATCCAAGGGACTGTTCAAGTCCTGGCTACTTTGCTTGGGATTCACTCTTCGGCTAATGCACCTGGGAATGCAGGAGATGATGGCCCCATACTTGGGTCCCTGCCACCCATGTGGAGGGACGTGGATGGAGTTCCTGGCTCCTGGTTTCTGCCTAGCCCAGCCCCAGCTGTTATGGACATTTGGAAAGTAAACCAATACATGGAAGATCTCTCTGTCTCTGTCTTTTGAATAAATATCTTTAAAATAAAGATAGATTCAATTACAGAATTTGACTCTGCTTATCCTAGGCTCTCTTCCTTCCTCTCAAATGATATTTAGTCTAATGAAAAGACTTTGAGGTCCACTAGTGAACACACACTTCTTCCCGAGACCCAAGAAGAAGTTAATGTTATTGTACTGTGGTTTTGTTAAAAAGAAATATTTTCAGAAATGCATGTGCAGATATATATAGGCAGAATGCCATTAGCCTTTTAGAAACTATCTAAAGAGGGCTATATGTGAATAAGACAAGAATAACAGAATTTTAATAAATGTTGAAGTAGGGTCGTGGGTACATGGAGTTCCTTATAAAGTTCTCTCTTCTTTATTATTTGTGTGAAAATTTCATACAAAAATTAAAGAATAAAGAATTTAAAAAAACATTTACAAAGAAATATGAAGACAGCAGGTGTGGGGATACTATTATGCAAGTACAGATTTCAAAGCAAACAATTAGTAGAAATAGTCAATATTTTAAAATGATGCAGTTGCCAAGAGCATGCAACACTTCTAATATATATCTAACGATATAGTTCTGAAATAAATACATCAAAACCTGATAGACTGGGGGATATTTGAGAATCCACAATCACAATAACAAACCAACACATCTCTCAGATCAAGTAGAATAAAGATAGCTAGAGGCTTTACTGGAATAGCATAATAATTGACTTTATGCATCACATATCTACACTTTTAAATCAGAGAACGAAAATTTTTTAAATATACTGAAAAATTCTGAACAAAGTAGCTCATAAAAGAAATTATAAATCCCTCAAACTGACATCACACAAACCACATTTCCTAGGCTTGACTTCAATTGGAAATCAATAACAGGCAGCTAATGAAACATGCCAAATACCTGGTACTTAAATACACAAAGGTAATAACTTGTGGGCTAAGGAGAACACAGTAAGGGATATCACAAGCTACTAAGAATGAAGAGGAGGCCGGCGCCGCGGCTCACTAGGCTAATCCTCCACCTAGCGGCACCGGCACACCAGGTTCTAGTCCCGGTCGGGGCGCCCGATTCCGTCCCGGTTGCCCCTCTTCCAGGCCAGCTCTCTGCTGTGGCCAGGGAGTGCATTGGAGGATGGCCCAAGTGCTTGGGCCCTGCACCCCATGGGAGACCAGGAGAAGCACCTGGCTCCTGGCTTCGGATCAGCGTGGTGCGCCAGCCACGGCAGCCACTGGAGGGTGAACCAACGGCAAAAAGGAAGACCTTTCTCTCTGTCTCTTCTCTCTCACTGTCCACTCTGCCTGTGGAGAAAAAAAGAATGAAGAGGAAAATAATAATATTGAAAATTATTGAAAAAGGGGTCCTGGCACTGCGGCATAGCGAGTGAGGCCACTGCCTGCAGTGCTGGCAGCCCATAAGGGCGCCATTTCAAGTCCCAGCTGCTCCACTTCCAATCCAGCTCTCTGCTATAGTCTGGGAAAGCAGTAGAAGATGGCCCAAGTGCTTGAGCCCCTGCGCCAGTGTGGGGGACCCAGAGGAGGCTCCTGGCTCATGGTTTCAGGTCGGTGGAGCTCTGGCCATTGCAGCCAATTGGGGAGTGAACCAGCAGATGGAAGACCTCTCTCTCTGTCTCTGCTTCTCCTTGTCTCTCTCTGTAACTCCAACTTTCAAAGAAACAAATAAATAAATCTTTAAAAAAAAAAAATGGTAAGGGAAGGGCAACATGCAACATGATATCCAGGAGGAAATTTAAACTAAAATGTATTTATTAGGAATCTCAGAAGGGCAAGACTGATCAAGTTTTAATCCAACCATATTCCAGTTTCATTAAAGAGCACATATAGTCCATTAACATTTGAAGAGATTTTCATCATTAATCATCCAGGAAATATAGATCGAGCTGATAACAATATAATTTTATATTTGTTTAACAAATAACTTTTTTGAAAAAATGATTTTGCTGCATCTCATAAATTTTGATACATTGTATTCCATTTTCATTTGTCTCAAGATAATTTTAAAATTTCTCTTCTGATTTTTTTTAAAGATTTATTTGAAAGAGTTACAGAGAGAGAAGGAAAGGCAGAGAGAGAGGTCTTCCATCCTCTGGTTCACTCCCCAATTGGCTGCAATGGCCGGAGCTGTGCCAATCAATAATCAGGAGCCAGGAGCTTCCTCTGGGTCTCCCACGCAGGTGCAGGAGCCTGAGGACCTGGACTATCTTCCATTGCTTTTCTAGCCACAGCGCCAGTCCCTTCTCTTTTGGTCTTCCATCCACTGGTTCACTCCACAGATGACCAGAGCTGTGCCGATCTGAAGCCAGAAGTCAGGAGCTTCTTCTGGATCTCCCACATGGGTGCAGGGGCCCAAGGACCTGGGCCACCTTCCACTGCTTTCCCAGGCCATAGCAGAGAGCTGGATTGGAAGTGGAGCAGCCGGGACTTGAACCAGTGCCTATATAGGAAGCCAGCACTGTAGGCAGTGGCTTTTCCCACTACGCCACAGTGCTGGCCCCACAATGCTAGTTTTTTTTTTTTAAGATTTATTTTATTTATTTTAAAGTTACAGAGAGAGGTAGAGTCAGAGAGAGATCTTTCATTCCGTTGGTTCACTCCCCAAGTGACCGCAATGGCCAGAGCTGAGCTGATCTGAAGCCAGGAGCCACCCCAAATACCCAGTCTAGACTGCATATGTTTAATAATTCAAAGCAAATAGATATTTTCTTCTCTATATTTGTCATATTAGAAAATAGAACTATTTTGGATTTTTTATAATAAAATGTTTTAATTACATACTGAAAATGAGAATACATTTTAGTGCTTAAATAAATTTAATGAAAGCTTAAACACCTATTATTAATTCTTTTGACTTTTCTAGGCACTGTGTAAACTTTTTCAGACAGTCGGCAGGAAAACTTACAAAGAGTTATAATGAAGCTTTAAAGATACATCCTTTGCAAAGCCTTCATTACGCACATGATTGGAAACTAACATGGGAATGACATTTCAAAATAGGTTTATGTAGAAGTTAGACCAAAATGACCAAACTCACTGTCCACAGCTCTCATAAACGCAAGGAATGCAGCAAATAGCTAACTTAAGCTTTCTATGGGCACTATTAATGAACAGATCAACAGTGGCATCTCACAGGCAGAACTTTCATGCTAGATTATGTAGGAATATATTACTATAAAGCTCATGGAAGGATGCCAAACCATCCCTTTCACAGCTGTGTGGAGATCTAGCAAGTGACACAGCAGGATATGTCACCCTGGAAATCCCTTCATTGGGTTTACATCAAGCTTTACCAGTGTACTCATGGCTTGAGTCTCATAAAGATGACCTTACTATCTACTGATGTTGCAGTCAAACGCCAACGAGTCTCACGTTCATGTCTTGCAGAACACCTTAACTCTTAAACAAATCCTTATCTTAATCTGATTTTCTTTTAGATGGATCATCCAGCAGCACCTTTCTCATTTGTGGTGAGAACAGCAGTATCACTCAGAGCAAGAACTTGGTCAGATGCAAAGAATTCTTGACTGCCAATAGACCCCCTACTTTAACCCTGGCCCTTTTTCCCCTTGAACTATAACTTCTATACCAACATGTCTCCAAATCTGTCACATCCAAGTTCTTTTCACTCATGCCCCTCTCCTATTCTAAGCTCGAGAAATAAGAGTGACAAATAAAGTTCAAAATCCACATACTGTCTCCACATAAGACCCTTATTCATTATAAAAGGAAAGAGTGACTTTATGGAGGAGGAAACTTACAGATACCATCATAAGATAAAGGTTCACATCACTGTCAACAACATATGACTATACTGGCAGCATGTCACCTGTGATAGGACAAAAAGTATTCCTGTTGCAAAATATACAACTTCAATATAATCATGAAAAAATGACTCAAATTGAGGTAACTCTCCAAAAAATCAATTTTACTTCAAAAGCGTCACAATCATGACAAGGAAAGACTGAGGAGATGTCACAGTTTGTAGAAGACTAAAGAGACTCAAAAATGAAGTGCAGTGGAGGATCCTGGACTGGATCTTGCATTAGAGAGACTAAGGAAGTAAATCGGAAAATTTTGAGTAAGTTCTGTAGTTATATCGTCTTATAGTGTTATATCGCCATCAATTTGTTAGCATTGGTAATTGTATTGTTATTATGTTAGATGTTAACTTTAGGAGAATCCTTTTGAAGGGTACACAGAAGTCCTGCGTACAATTTGGTTACCTTTTCTGTGAGTCTAGAAATTTTTTTGAAACAACTTTTAAAAGAAATTCCTAATCTTTTGGAGCCCCTGTTCTAATAGGGTACAGAGATTTTCAAAAGGTAAGTAAAGCATCTATTATTTTTAGATGGTGATATGTTCTAGAAAGAAAAATAAGGCAAGGGGGAAGAACTAGAAGTATTGGGGGGACCATGGTCGATAGGGTGGCTATGCTGAGCCGCTACACAGCCATGTTTATGGGCTATTTCAAAAGATAGTGGCCCATGGGCTTGAAGCTTCTCAGACAAGTGGATCCCACACGCACAGTATGAACCCAGGCAGTCCCACTCTCCTAGTGACAGGGCAGACTGCCTGTGGGGAGCCATTCACCAACCTGACCAGCCATTCTCCACTCCTCAGATTCCTGGACCATCGATCGACCCCCTGGAGTGGGCCAGCCAGAGCCCAAACCCAGGGAAGTGCCACAGAAAGCTTCAGGGACACATCGCTAGGCAACCGAAGCTGTCTTTGCAACCGAAGCTGTTGTAGCGCGCGCATGCTCAGTTCAAGGACCCGTTGCTTGAACCCTCCCCCCTCCCTTCCAGGGACGGTTGGGGGCGGGGGGCAGTCTGCAGCCTTCGTCTCCTTGAGACTGGTTCAAACCAACCTTTGGGTCACTTCTACCACCCCAGTGACGGCAGAGCTGTGTGGGGCTGTGGTAGACAAACTCCTCCGCGGCTCGGATTTCAGAGAGGATGAGAATGGAGTAAGACTGAGCGGCAGATGAAACCAGTTTGGCTGTGGACAGGCCAAGGAGGTGATGGAGGAGTTTCCTGAGTCCCCAGGTGAAGCTGTCAACGGAAAACTCAGTGACCCTTAGTCCAGTATACCTCGTCGGGCCGGGCCTAGGAACCCCTGCCCTGTGCTCAGACCTCTGAGGAGGGCTTTGTCTTTGAAGTGTGTTGTGAGAAATGTTGGCAGTCTGCGTATCCGTTCTTCAGAACCCTGTCACCCCTGACCTCTTCAGGTACCTGGGGATGTTCAGGAAATACCTGACCACGAAGGAATCATCCCTCTGGAGGGAGCACACATTTTTCAGGCACCTTCTGTAACTCTAATGAACATCTTTCTTTAACTGGTGATCTTGTGACTAATCAGAATGTTTGCTCTACAGATAAAATAATGCCTACTTAAGAACTCCAGGGGCTGACTGCATGGAAATGGCTAGAATGGTAGATCTCACCTGAAGAGGAAATTTGCCACCACCAAGCCTACTTTTACTTGACATCACCACCTGGTCAAGAATCTGTTACTACCAGCTGCAAACAACCAGGTTTTATGTCAAAAGAACCTCCATCTAATTGGCATCAAGAAGATTATCAAAACTGATGCTGGGAGCTGCCTACCAGGCTTCCCAAACTCCCCTTTCTCCAGCACTCTTTGTTATTATTAATGTAAGGGACTGACGGTTTTGGCAAAATTTCAAAGGATAAATTTTTTTTCTTTCTTAATTTTCTTTAATTGTATTTTATTCATATTTATTGTTTTCTTCAACTTAGCTTGGGTTTGATTTGTATATCTTTTCCTATTTTTCTCAGGTAATGACTTAGGTCATTTATTTATTTTTAAAGATTTATTTTATTTACTTGAAAGACGGAGTTACAGAGAGGAGGAGTCAGAGAGAGAGAGAGAGAGAAAGAAGTCTTCCATCCGATGGTTCACTCCCCAAATGACTGCAATGGCCAGAACTTAGCTGAACCAAAGCCAGGAGCCACAAGCTTCGTCTGGGTCTCCAGTGTGGGTGCAGAGGTCCAAGGACTTGGGCCATCTACTGCTTTCCCAGGCCATAGCAGAGAGCTGGATCGGAAGTGGAGCAGCAGGGACTCAAACTGGCAACCATATGGGATGTCAGCACTGCAGGCTGGGGCTTTAACCCCCTGTGCCACAGCGCCAGCCCCTAGGTCATTTATTTATTTATTTATTTTTGACAGGCAGAGTGGACAGTGAGAGAGAGAGACAGAAAGAAAGGTCTTCCTTTGCTGTTGGTTCACCCTCCAATGGCCGCTGCAGCCAGCACACTGCGGCCAGCACACCGCGCTGATCTGAAGCCAGGAGCCAGATGTTTCTCCTGGTCTCCCATGCGGGCGCAGGGCCCAAGGACTTGGGCCATCCTCCATTGCACTCCCGGGCCATAGCAGAGAGCTGGCCTGGAAGAGGAGCGACCAGGACAGAATCCGGCGCCCCAACCAGGACTAGAACCGGGTGTACCAGCGCTGCTAGGTGGAGGATTAGCCTATTGAGCTGCGGCGCCGGCCAAAATATATAAATCTTAAGTGTACTATTTTCTGGCTTACATTTAGCCACTAACATTTCAGCTAGAAAAACTAGAGGCCTATGCATACAACTTGGTAAAAAGTTAGTTGATGTTTGTTTAAAAGTAATGATTATAATATCACTTTAAAATGCTACAAAATATAATTCCACACTGGAATATTTTTTTCAATGTTTGAATTACATTCATTATGAATAAACTATAATCATTACCTTCTTTCTTTAACTGATATTTCAGATAGTCATATTATACTTTTTGCTATTAAATCTATAATGCAAGCTTCTTTGTAAATTTTTGAGAATTGAGACATAAAATTCCGGTAACCAACTACAACATTTCAAACCTCAACATAGTCTGTTGTGTAATGGGAGTGGCGCAGCTCCAGCCATTGTGGCCATCTAGGGAGTGAATCAGCAGATGGAAGACCTCTCTCTTTCTCTGCCTCTGCCTCTCTGTAACTCTGCCTTTCAAATAAATAAATAAATCTTTTTCTAAAAAAAACATACTCACATTTTTATAGCCATTAGCAAATTGCTGTTGCTTCATATGTATGTATGTATATTTAAACTACATATATATAAACATATGTATTTGTGTATATATTTAAACTAATATATATGTATTTAAATTAATATGTATATTTAAAGTAATATATAAATAAAATAAATATTATTTATTTATTTGAAAGACAGAGTTACATAGAAAGAATAAGAGACAGAAAGAGATCTAACTCCATCTGGGTCTCCCACATGGATGGCAGGTGCCCAATCACTTGGATCATTTGTATGCTTTCCCAGGCATATTAGCAGGGGCCTGGATGGGAAGTGGAGCAACTGGGACTTGAACCAGTGCTCATATAGGACCAGTGCTGAACCAGTGCTCATCATAGGCAATGGCTTAGCCTGCTGAGCCCCAACACTGGCTCAACTGCTCTTGGCCATGTTTTAAAAAAATAATTTCCAGGCCGGTGCCGTGGCTCACTAGGCTAATCCTCTGCCTTGCAGCGCCGGCACACCGGGTTCTAGTCCCGGTCGGGGCGCCGGATTCTGTCCCAGTTGCCCCTCTTCCAGGCCAGCTCTCTGCTGTGGCCAGGGAGTGCAGTGGAGGATGGCCCAAGTGCTTGGGCCCTGCACCCCATGGGAGACCAGGATAAGTACCTGGCTCCTGCCATCGGATCAGCGCGGTGCGCTGGCTGCGGCAGCCATTGGAGGGTGAACCAACGGCAAAGGAAGACCTTTCTCTCTGTCTCTCTCTCTCACTGTCCACTCTGCCTGTCAAAAAAAAAAAAAAAAAATTCCATCTCTTAAATAAGATTCCCTATTTGATGGGACATTGTTATCCCAGTGTCCTTTACTTCTCTAAGCATACTTTTTATAGTTATTTGAAGGTATGTGTCATCTACCAAGAGATTGGAGGAGTTGCTATAGAAACCCCAAGCTGGTGGACCTCTGGTTGATCTACAGTGCACATAGCTTTCCTTTCATTGGTCAGTGATCATGGTGAATGACCTTTACAACATATCATTGAATTCAGGTTTGTAGTGAGTTGTTGTTGTTGTGTGTGTGTGTGTGTGTGTGTGTTTTTTTTTTTTTTTAGGATTTTTGCATTTGAAATCATCTGAGATGTTGTAGTTCATTTTCTTGTAATGTTCTTATGTGGCTTTGGTGTCAAAGTAATGTTAGCCTCATAAAATGAATTTGGACATGTTCTCTCCTCTACAGTTTTCTTTTAGATGTAATTATTTGAAAGGCAGAGTCACAGAAAGGCAGAGAGAGAGAAAGAGAGGTCTTCCATCTGCTGGTTCACACCTCAGATGACCACAATGACCAGAGCTGAGCCAATCCAAAGCCAGGAGCCAGGAGCTTTTTCCAGGTCTCCCATGTGGGTGCAGGGGCCCAAGAACTTGGGCCACCTTCAACTGCTTTCCAGGCCACAGCAGAGAATTGGATCAGAAGTGGGGCAGCCGGGACTCGAACCAGAGCCCACATGGGATGTCGGCACTGCAGGCGGCAGCTTTACTCTCCACGCCACAAAACCAGCCCCCAACCTCTACAGTTTTTAAAATGGGTTTGAGATGAATTGGTGCAAGTTCTTCTTTAAACTTTTTATAAATTTCACTAGCAAAACTGTCTTGATCTACACTTTTCATTGTTGCTAGATTTTTAAATTATTGAATCAATCTCCTTAAATTTGTTAAGACTTGTTTTGTGGCCTAAAATATGATCTATCCTGGAGAATGTTTCATATGCACTTTATTAGAAAAATGTGTACTCTTGCTGTTGAATGGAATGGTAAATATATGTTAGGTCCATTTGGTTTAAAGTACAGTTAAAATTTAATGTTTATTTCTTTTCTGTCTGGGTGTTTAACCCATTTTTGAAAGTGGGATATTGAAGTCTCCAGCTATTATTGTTTTGTTGTATATTTGTCCCTTCATATCTAATAGTATTTGTTTTCTATATTTACATACTGTGATGTTGACTGCATATGTATCTATAACTGTCCCATCCTTTTGCTGAATTGATGCCTTTACCATTACATAATGATCTTGCCTCTTGTTAAAATCTCTTACAGACTATTTTGTCTAATGTAAATATAGCAATCCTCACTTTTGATTTCATTTGCATGGAATATATTTTTCCATTCCTCACTTTTAGTTTATGTGTGTCCTTAGAGGTGAAGTCTCTTGTAGGTACTCTATACTTGAATTAAAAAAAAAAAATCCATTTAGCCACTCTGTCCTTTGGAGAATTTGGTTAATTTATATTTAATGTAATTACTGATAAATAAAACTTACTATTGAATTTTGCTAATTGTTTTCTCTCTTGCATACTCTTATTCCTTTCTTCCTCTCTTGCTGTTCTACTTTGAAGATTTTGTATAGTGGTATGTTTTTTTTTTCTCTTCATCTTTTGTGCATCTAATATAGGTTATTCCCCTGAGGTTACCATGAGGCTTGCATAAAATATCTTATAGTTATAATAGTCTATTTCAAATTGTTAACAACTTAACTTGGAGCATATGCAAACATTCTGGACTTCTAACCCTCACAAACACATATATGTTTTTGATGTCACAATGTATAACTTATAATTTATACTAGGTGTCAATTTACAAATTACTGTCATCATACTTTAAAAATATATTTTCATCCTTTAGCTTTCATACTAGAGTTATAAGTGATTTATACACCACCATTAGTTTTATTCTCAATTTGTACTGTATACTACTTTAACCAGTGACGTTTATCTTGTCCAATTTTTTCATGCTGTTAATTAACTTCTTTTCATATCAGCTTGAAAAACACCCCTCAGCATTTTTGTAAGGAAAAACAAGTGATGAACTCCCTCAACTTCTTCTACATTTTCCTAGAATGTAGTCTTTATCATTTTTTCATTTTTGAAAGGCATCTTTGCCTAATAAGTAACCTTGGCTGGTGGTGTTTGTTTTTCTTTCAGTACTTTGAATATTTTTTTTCTGATCTCTCCTGGCCTGCAAGCGTTCTGCAGAGAAATCCCCGGATATATGCATATCTGAATATATTATAAGTCTCTCCTCTTGCTGCTTTCAAAATTCTCTTTCTCCTTGGATTTGGATGGTTTGAATGTAACATGTCTTGAAGACCTCTTTGGGTTGAGCCTGTGTGGGAACATTTGAACTTCATGTCCTGGATGTGTTTCTTTCTCCCCAGACTTCGGAAGCCATTATTTCTTTAAATAAATAAAAATGTCTTTCTCCTAGTCTTCTAAGATTCCAAAATGGATATATTAAGCAAGTTGATGGTGTCTCATAAATTCCATATGCTCTCTTGTAATTCTCATTTTTCTTCTTTTTGTTACTCTGTCTGGGTAATTTCAAACAACTAGTGTTTGAGTTCACAGATTCTTCCATTTGTTTGAGCAAGTCTGCTATTGATGCTCTCTGTAGCTTTTCTCCCCTCTTAATTTAATGCATTGTCTTCTTCAGCTCCAGAATTCATTTGGTCCTTATCTGTGATTTCTATTACTTTCTTGACATTCCCATTTTGTTCATGTTTTGATTTCATGATCTTGTTTGTTTTCCCTTCCTTAAGACAATTATTTGGAATTCTTTGTCCAGCAATTCATAGATCTCCATTTTTTGAGGTCAATTACTGGAAAGTTATTGTGTTCCTTTGTTGGTGTCATGTTTCTTTCATTT